AGGGCCCCCGCCCCGCCCGCGCGCGGCGCCCCCGGCAGCGCCGGCCCCGGCACGCCCCCGGAGAGCGGCTGCCGGGGCCCCGCCGAGGGTCCCACTCCTACCATCTTGCCCACCAGGCGCCTCCTCAACAACTTCGCATCCTCCCCCGCCTCCGCCTCCTTGTCCGCGAGCCGCCCGCTCGGCTCGCCCCTGGTCCGCGCCCATTGGCTCGCCCGAGCCGGAAGCGGGCGTCGCACTGGCTGGCGGCGTTGTCGCTCCGCTGCAGCGCCCGCCTCCCGCCGCCGCCTCCTCCTCCTCCTCCCGGACAACCGCGGAAGAGGAAAGAGGGAAAGGGAGGACCCGGATGGCAGGCGGGGCGGGCCTTCCGGCAAGGCATCACGGGAAATGTAGTCTGTCCGCCCCTCTCTGCACAGCGGGGACAAACCGCCACCTTTTCTGTCAGACAGAAGGAGGGCCCCATGTTTCTCCCTCACCCAAGTTCGTTGGACTGATTCCCGCCTGCCAGTGGTGGGGATGATGGGACTTGTAGTCCAGCCTTTGGAGGGCCAGAGGTTCCCTGCATAAGAGAGGCGCCAGATGCCCAAGGATCCTGAAAAGGAGCTGGCCCTACAGGGGGATTTTGGACTACCCACTGAAGCTGCAGAAGTTAGACCCAAAGAACTGAATAATCAGACATGTGTCTCTCAAATGCATCCCTGAGTTTCTCTTTCACACCCTGCCCTGGGAACACACTTGCAAACCTGGCCATCAGCTCAATTTTTGCTGGGTGTCTTTCAGCCCATTTTTCATTAATCTTGCACAATGGCCTATTTCTCTCTGGGCTTAATTAAAAGTGCAGAGCTTCACCCTAGCCAGCTCAGAAACGGTGCTTTACAGAGATCCTGCCACCTAAACCTCCTACTGGATTTATTCTAGGTTCCCATATGAAAGTTATCATTCTGTTCAGAGGTCCTGCAGTACCCCTCCTCTCCCCGAGATAAATTCAACTGGCGAAAAGTCGACTGGGGGTTTTCTGTAGCAGCACCTAAAGATGTTTTGTTGCTAGTCACAAAGTTGCGTCCAACCCATCACGACCCCATGGACAACAGGCTTCCTGTCCTCCACCATCCCCTGGACTCCACTCAAGCTCACATCTGCTGACTGCCCCAGTGACCCCATCTAGCCACCTCATTCTCTGCCGTCCCCTTCTCCTTTTGCCCTCAATTGTTCCCAGCATCAGGGTCTTTCCCAGTGAGTCCCTCCTTCTCATTAGGTGGCCAAAGTCTTTGAGCTTCATCTTCACTATCTGGCCTTCTAAAGAGCCGTCAGGGTTGATCTCCTCTAGGACTGACCGGTTTGATCACCTTGCGGTCTAAGGGACTCGCAGGAGTCTCCTCCAGCACCACAATTCGAAGGCCTCAATTCTCCGGCACGCAGCCTTAAAGATGACTAGGAGGACTCATTCTTCCCTAGCCTGGTGCTTCAACAGACTTTAACAGAAACCAGCTGGTGTTTTCTTTTTTAATAAAAAGGCAGGATCTCACCCTTGATGAGTAACAGATCTGCGTGAACAGAGGTGACTTGCAATTACATCCCCAAATGTCCCACTTTCCTATTTATTTCCTTTAAACACATGGTGCTGGTCTTTGCTTTCTGTATGGTTTTTTTCTCACAGCCTAAATGCAAGGTGTCAGTTCTGATTATAAATAAAATCACATGCCCTATCAAATAAGGAAAGAACATGCAGCTTTTAATAATTACATCTCAAACATCTGTTGTTTTTAAGGCATACAATTCTAAATATTCATTTTGATCCAAGAGAAGAGATAGCCAATGAGAAATGTTGGAAAACTGCATTCTGGGCCCAAAGGACAGACAGGAAGCAGCACACATTGCTTGAACTGGAAGATCTGTGGCTTGGGCAACTGGAATGCCTCACCACCTCCAGAGCAGCTATACTTCGTTTCAGCTTTCCTCCAGGTGTGTCCTGGCACAGAGACCTTTAATGGGTCAGAGACTTCCTCCCTTTCAGCATCCTTCGGAGAATGACTTCAATCCCACTGCGCTCACGGATGCGTTTAATCCAGCCGTGCTTGTGTTTCCGCTTGATATTCGATGGCTGATACTCGTTCCCACGGGCTTTGGTGCGAACTGGCTGGTGGCTCCACGGCACTGCCAACCCATGAAAATCCAGGCGTGTGCTCGCAGGATCCAGCGATGGGCCAGCAGGCAGAACTGGTCTCCACGACGTGGAGCGAACAGAACAAATTCCACGCTGGTAGATGATGCAAGCTGCAGCTCTCCTCATCAGGAGAAGAGGTCTGGGAAAGCAGAACAAGACGACGACAAAAATGTAAAGAGTAAAGCATTACTTTCACTTCATCGTTATTAAATATTTTTAGATGTTGCTCGTTAACACCTCAAAGCAGGGTATAGTTGAATATTTAAAACAATTTTAATGCACTATGAAAAATCATTTCAATGCCACCAGCAATACAAGGATTGTCATATTTTTGTCCCAGCCCTTGCAGAAAACCAAGGAACACAAGCGAGGAGGACAGCGAAGGAGCAGGAACAACGCAGTCGTCCTTCCACCTCGTCCCAGCCTTCCTCCAGGGACGACAGAGTGCCACGCACGGTGCCCGCTGGCCACTCACAACAGCCCTGCAAGGCAGCTAAGGGCGCCAAATCCTCCATAGCTGCTCTGTGCATGCTCAGAGGCTAGGGTCGTTTTCCCATGTAACCTCTTCCCGTACCCAGGCCCTTACCCGCCGCCTACAGCCAAGCTACCCATGTTCTTCTCTCACTCTCCAAAACGGAAATCCCCCTGCCCTGTGTCACCAAGCCAATCACGTACAAGGGTTGAGCGGAAAAGGCGGGGGAAACGGGGAATTTGCTTTCTGGGTAATGTAGTTTCTTCGCCGGTGATGCGCATTTCCTGTGGGGCGGGGCCTCCCTGGCTTCGGGTTGGCCGTGGAGAAGTAAACAGCAGTCTGCCCCACCCCATCCGTGACGTTAGGCGCCTTATTTAAATATCCCCGCCCCCGTCGTCTTCCGTCTATCTCCACCTTCGGCCAAGGAGGTAGCTTATTGAACTGTCTGCCCCGTTGCCTAGTTACGGGGAAACGAGGCCTAATCCCGCGTTCTGGACCAGCATATATTATATTGTATAGATTATATCACCTTACCTATTTTATTTATAGCTTTTCTATATCGTCCTTCACTAAAAAGTCCCAGGATGGTAGTACAATGAAATAAAAGTACAGCATCAGAGGAAAAAATTCAAATAAAACCCCATCTTAAAACATTGAACACTTCAAATATTGGAAAAATAAAAAGGTTTTAGTGCATAATAAAAAGAATATTGTATAAGTAGACCTGAATAATAATACATTATTGTGCTGAATGTTATGGAATATATAATAATAAATGTGCATAGTTCTATGAGGATGCATCAAGTCCGTCTTACTGCTCTCTCAATAAAGATACCAACATACTGAACTCTGGGATTAAATCAGCCTTCCCCAGTCTGGACATCCTCCTGATGTGCTTGACTGAAATGTCCACCATTCCCAGCTGGCATATGTTGGGAAATACAGATAAATCCTGGTAGGAAAAGGGTGCTTGTATTCGCCCTTGTGTTATAAAAATGCCTGCACTCCTTTCTCAGCAGTGCAATTCTAAGCCGAGCCTCTACTTAGTGTCGCTACTTTAAGAAACAGCAACTAGCCTCACTTGAGGCAACCACTGCAATTAGCGGTAAAGTTAATGGCATTGAGGTTTTTGTGCTGCTAATCTGCTGGCCTGCTTAATTCATGTGCAAACTGGTAGCCAAGACCAGCAATGCTTCTCATATCAATCTCCTGTGTTAAGACCCCTCTGCAAATTTTGCACATTCTTTTGACTGTGTTCCCCTTGTTTTGTCATCACTTGCCCTGCTGTTATGACATGTAACTCAAAACATCTAAAACACTCTGCACGTGTTCTGGAAGTTTGTAGCTGGTCTCTACCTGGCAGCATGGTTCATAAGGTTTGTCTCTGCAGAGAGTACCTGAGGGCTCAGTCTAATAAAGACCTCGAGACCTCACATCTGTCTCCATCGGGGAGCCATTTCCTTCTAATCCTGTCCTTTCCATTCAGGCAACGATAAGTCCTGCAACTCCCAGTGTCCCCCAGCCAGAGACAGGATGCCGCCCTAAATATGCCCATGTTTGTGCCTTTGGATTTGCACTCTGTCTACCCTCTGGAGCTAGGTTTCACAAATCCACACTCCAAGCAGTGAGGCAATGGCAAGCCCTGCCGGAAGACCCCAGGAAAAAGATTTTCCAGGAAACTGAGAAATACCCCACTTGCAATCGGTAATGTCCACATGACTGGACCGGACCCTTCCTTCACCAGATGAAGCCTGCAGCACCCATCGAAGCCAGAGGCTATCACTGTGCATCTACAGCTGGAAGCTCCATCAGTAACCTCCCTGCTTTCTCCACACCAGGTGCCATTTTGTACCCTCCGTTCTTTAGCCATTTACGGCATACCCAAAAGAAGACATAATAAGAGTTGTGCTCATAGAATCACAGAATAGTAGAGTTGGAAGGGGCCATGAAGGCCATCAAATCACACCATCCCACTCAGATGGCTGCCAGTTTCACCTTGAACGTCTCCAGTGTGGGAGAGCCCCCCACATCTCCAGGCAGTGGGTCCCACTGTCCTATCGCTCTGACCATGAGGAAGCTTTTCCTGATATCTAGCCTGAATCTGAGCTGATAGTTCTGCATCCTACACTCTGGTATCAGCAAGAAGAGACCTTGGCCTTCGCCTTTGGGATAGCTTTTGAGGTAGTTTACGAAGGCTATCCCTTCAAATCTTCTCTTCTCAAGGCTGAACAGGAAGGGCAAGTGCCAAGTTCTCTCAGTCTCTCCTCATAGGGCTTTCTTAGAATCACAGAATAGTGGAGTTGGAAGGGGCCGTGAAGGCCATCAGGTCCACCCCCTGCAGTTGCAGGACACCAAGTCACACCATCCCACTCAGGTGGCCGCCCAGTTTCTTTCTGGATGCCTCCAATGGGGGAGAGCCCCCCACATCTCCAGGCAGTGGGTCCCACTGTCCTATCGCTCTGACCGTGAGGAAGCTTTTCCTGATATCTAGCCTGAATCTGAGCTGATAGTTCTGCATCCTACACTCTGGTATCAGCAAGAAGAGACCTTGGCCTTCCCCTTTGGGATAGCTTTTGAGGTACTTTATGAAGGCTATCCCTTCAAATCTTCTCAAGGCTGAACATGCCCAGTTATCTCCATCTCTCCTCACAAGGTAGTGTGTCCAGACCTTGCTGCATGCAGCCATGACTGGTAGCCAAGAATAAACTTCTCCTCTAAGAACTTGTCTGATCCCCATGGAAAGTGTAAGTCCTGGCACTTCAGGTGTGAGGAATTAACACTCAACCTGCAGGGGAAGACCTAATTGTCTTGACCTTCAGTGGTTTTATTGATGATATTCCCCCAGGCCCCTGCAGTAACTAATGATAGCTTGCTTCCAATTATTGGTCCTCACAGCCAATAAGCTTTTAGGCATATACAGAGTGTTTTATGGGTTTTGAGTCACTACACAGCAGCAGGGCAGGTGATGAGGAAATAAGAGGAGAATGTGAGTGATCTGCAGAACTCAATACAATAATGCTGATTACAGGAGATTGCCATGAGATTATTATCAGCTGTCATTTGAATAGGCAAAGGAGGGTGATTGCAAAGCTGCTGGAAAACCTGGCTGGTCACCTTATCGCTTTAGACAGGTGTTAACTTTCCTTGTTCTGCAAAGGTTTTTCCAACTAAAAGTAATAGCCATCTCTTAAAAGAACAGCCAGAAATTAAAAGATGCTTGCTCCCAAGGAGGAAAGTTATGGCAAATCTAGACAGCATACTAAAAAGCAGAGACATCACCCTGCCAACAAAAGTGCGTACAGTCAAGGCTATGGTTTTCCCAGTTGCAATGCATGGCTGTGAAAGCTGGACCATAAGGAAGGCTGAGCGCCGAAGGATTGAAGCCTTTGGATTGTGGTGCTGGAGGAGACTCTGCGAGTCCCCTGGACTGCAAGGCGATCAAACCGGTCAGTCCTGGAGGAGATCAACCCTGGCTGCTCTTTAGAAGGCCAGATCCTGAAGATGAAACTCAAATACGCTGGGCACATAATGAGAAGGAAGGACTCCCTGGAGAAGAACCTGATGCTGGGGATGATGGAGGGCAAAAGGAGGGGACAGCAGAGGATGAGGTGGCTGGATGGGGTCCCTGGAGCAGTGGGTGTGAGCTTGGGTGGACTCCGGGTGATGATGAGGGACAGGAGGGCCTGGAAGAAGGTTGTCCATGGGGTTGCGATGGGTCAGACACAACTTCGTGACTAACAACAACAAAAGAACAGCTCTGAGAAAGAAGCCTGGCTTGGGAGTTATTTAAAGTTTTTGTATGCCGTCCCCTTGCTATATAGCCTCGGGACGGCTCACACAAATTTCTGAACTTTCCAAGAAGAGGTGCAGGTTGATTTTATAATGCAAAGGCACATAGAAGCAACCTTTCTCTATAGGGATCTATCTCTATTTTCCCCAACAAAGGCCGTCCAAATTTGTGGCCATCACATCTCATGGAAGTGAGCTCCACAGATTCACTATGCTCTGTCTTTAGAAGGACTTCCATTTATCTGTCCTGAATCTCCCACTGCTCAGCTTCATGGGGTGACTCCAGTACTCAGTAGCCCTCTCTGCCTTGGAGGCCTGTGGACCAAAACAAGAAGGGCCACTTTGCACTGACTCAGAGCAAGCTTCCCTTTTGCAAGGAAGTGTTGAGAGTTGCATAAATATGCATCACAGATACAGCAATGTGGCCCAGCAGCTACTCATCCAGATGCGGGAGGCATCATGCAAAGGAGAATCAGTTAAAAAATGGTTGTTGTCAGCAGGTTTTCAATAATAAAAAGACGTATGTGCGAGGAAAAAGAGAGATGGACTGTGCGATGATGCCCTTCACCTCATTTTCCCCTCTGCACAGCCTGATGGATGGCTGCTGACCGTTAACAGCTCCGGCGGCCCGTCTTTGAGTGGGAGCCCAGAGCTGTGAACCCCATCTTGGGCTGGTTCTCGGAAAGGAGCCATTCCCCACCGGGGGCTTCCAAGCGATGGGGCACGGTGGGCCGAGGAACGCGGCAGACTGCGGGATTCTACTCTGCCCAGCCGCACACCGGTTGCACCTTTGCTCTCCTCCTGCAAGGAAGCATTTGCAGAGGCAGAAATCTGAGCCGAAACACAACGCCCTGGGCATTTCTCTGCCTCTTGCCCCATGCCGGCGGGAGTGATGGGCGCTGTAGCGTAAGACTGCTGCACAGCGGGCCGGGGAACCCACAGCTTCCATCAGCCACAGCCACTGGCCAGCGCTGAGGGGAGTCGGGGTCCCGCAAG